GGACTTTTTTATAGATTTTTTAAGGTTGTCAATACTGTAGCTGTAGTACATTATTTTGATTCATCTCATGCGTATTCACCAAAAAAGCGAGCACGAGCGAGCATGAGCGAGCATTCATATATGTTTGCTTCTGTTCGCTCATATTCGCTCGTATTTGCTCGACATATTGATGTCTCGTCCACACTAGAGCTAATATCTTCAAGTTCGTAGTCGTAGTTGATCCATTTACTTTGTTCTAGCACCTTTTGATGTACCGCCTTCTCGATCTTTTCTGAACGCGAACAAACATACGTTCGCTCGCTCGCTAGCCCATACTCACCAGACGATTATTGATGCAGAATGCTCGTTCACTCTTGTTTGCTCTTGTTCGCTCGTACTCGCTTTTTTGGTGAATACGCACCTTAAGGTTCAGCCAGCGTTTGCAATGTAAGCGCAAAAAATGTTTTTATTTATGACACCACATTAGAAACCTCTAAAATCATAAGTGTTTCTGAACTATATTATGCATGTTAAATACATTTAAACCTTCTTCTTGAATCACTCTACCTACTAAAGAACCACGCATCAAAATCCGTTGCATAGTTTTGAAGATCTATCCATATGGACGGTAGCCGGTCGGTTCAACGTGGGTGCTTTATTCACTCTCAAATCGACCGCCATGTTGGTCGCTGGTTCAAGCCCCAGGCTGAACGATCGATTTTCACTTGCTATCGTCCAAACCGTGTTAGGAATCACACGTTGAAAGGTAAGACCTCGTTAGTCCTTAGCTCGCACAAGTTTCGACTTCTGAGGGTTTTCGTTCGTAGGGGCGCGACAGCTGGTTAACGGGAAAACAGATTTTGAACTGATTTAAACAGATACTTAGGGACAGACAGCGAAAAGCTGTAGTAATTGTAAGGAAATGATCAGCTTTTGTGTTGTCGTTTGTTGCATAATGTGTATAATTTTTACATACGATCTTTAGCGGTGACAATAGCGACGTGTGTCGAAATTCGGAATTCCTTATCAAATTCAAAGTTTCGATATCAATCAAAAGCACTGGTACAGAAGAGGATTTTTATAATAACAGTAGGGCCTTGGTAATACGGACTCCCGTTTGTTCGGTGATCGCTGTAATCCGGCCGGGCAATGGGCTTTGCGGGGGAGGCGGGCATTAAAAGACAAATTGCGAATTATAGAAATGTTAGATAAAGGTGACAGCTACCCTGTCATTGCTCGGAAGTTTGGTATAGGCAGGTCAGTAGGCGACATAAAGAAAAACAAAGACAAAATCTTGAAGTTCATTAGCCTAATAGAAAGTGGTCCCGAAAAACACTGAAGAAATTGGAAAAATCCTGTTTTAGGAGATACTTTTGTTTACATGGTTTTTAAAACAAAGGCGACTGCATGTTCTTGTAGGTGGTGATATAATTCGTGAGAAAGCTCTCATTTTTCATCGCCAGATTACAAACTCCAATATCGGGTTTAATGCAAGCCGGGGATGGTTAGACAAATTTAAAAAACGGCACGGAATAAGACGTTTAAAAATAGCCAGTGAAAAACTGTCAAATAATGAAGCCGCTATTGGACCATTCCAACTAGAGTTACAGAAAGTTATAACAGAAAATATTTAACAGCGGCATAGGTTTGCAATGCTAACGAATCTGGTTCATACTGGCGATTATTGCCAGATCATGCTTTAGCCTCTGACCTTCCTCCGGAAGAAAAATAATGAAGATGAGAGTGACATTCATGCTCTATGCAAATGCGGCTGTAACCCATAAACTTCAATTGCTTGGGTTACGAAATACTTGTTTCTTGAGTGGTTTACAACAGAATTCGTTTTCGCGGTCCGTCGCCATCTTTTGTCTGTTAATTTGCCTACTCAGGAACTGTTATTGTTCTGAGCATTCATCAGCAGATGAACTTGTCTTTGAAGACGGCAACATTTTTGCAATGTTACTACCACCTAACACCACGGCATTTATACAACCAATGGATCAGAACGTTATACAAAATGTGAAGTTAAATTACCGATAATCACTTTTGGTTAACTGTTTTGCATTATGTTCTGAGAATCTAATGGACTTTGAAGGCACAGTTTTTCTTTTGGCTAATTGCTGGGCCAATGAATATTACTGGAGTTTTTTTCCTGGGCTAATGTTCAAGAATCGCTAATTAACAAATCATGGAAGAATTTGCACCCTGGATTTCTCACTCACCAACCAGAAGATGATGTTCCTTTAGCCAAACTTTTCAATATGTTGAGAGGACCCAATTATTCTCAAATAAGTGAGGCAGGAGCTTGAGAATGAGTTGCTGGTGGTGCTGAAAGCGAGTTACAAAGATGAACCAAGACTTATTACTAGTTATTCTTCATCACTTAGGGCTTTCAGATGGAGCGATATCACTATTGCGTGAATATCTCAGTGATAGGCAACAGAAAGTCAACATCAATAGCAACTGCTCTCAATACCTCACTTTGACATCTGGAATTTCCCAGGGATCCACACTGGGCCCTTTACTGTTTACAATGTACACTGCGAACATTCTGAAATGTCTTGAATTTTGTTCTGCACATTTGTATGCGGACGATACCCAGCTTTATAATGATTTTCCATCATCTAATGTAATTGATGCTTGTATGAAAATAAATACTGATCTGAAATCGTTCGTAAAAGCCGCTACTAACCATTGTTTATTCATAAATCCGAGTAAATCAAGTATCATTGTCATTACTCCAAGAAATGATCAAAGTATTGTACACGATATGAACATCATGATTAATGGTGAAAAACTCGAAATAGTGAATGAAGGAAAGAGCCTTGGTGTCTTGTTAGATTCAAATTCGAGATTTGAAAAACACATAAACAAACTAATCCAACGAGCATATTCTTCTATAAAAATAATATATGGAAACAGATATTTCCTTCCCACCTCAATAAAAATTAGTTTATGAGAAACATTGGTTCTTTCTTTATTCAATTATGCAGATATTTTATATCACCCGAATCTAACCACAAACTATAAATACAAAATCCAGAAAGTACAGAACTCGTGTCTTCGGCTAATATGTGGAATAAGGAGGCACCAAAGGATTTTACATAAATTGAAAGAAACAAGAGAGTTGAGTATGGAAAACAGGATACATCTCCATAATGCATGTATGTATCATAAAATTATTACTGATAAAGCACCACCATATCTTTATCATAAAATAAAATACCGCACGGATATACACAACTTGAACCCTTTATTCAAAACCCAAATGTTCATGCGCTCATACAGCTACCAGATTGCAAAAGTGTATAATAACATCCCTTCTGAATTGAAAAAATTGAGCCAAGGTCGTTTTGGAAATGATAAAGACCATTATTATTATTATTATATGAAGTGTTAACTGATGAGGAGATTGTGCGACCGGCAATGTGTGAGGACGATGAACAAAATGAGGACAGTAGCGTTGAAATTACCAAAATAGTTGGTAATTCAGAAGCAGTAGAAGCTTCAAACATTGCTTTAAAATGGGCTGGAGGTAACGAATTTGATAGCCACGAAGTTATGTTTATCCGTCGACATAGAAACCGGGCTTTTGAAATGAAGTGCAAAAATTATAAACAGAAGAATGTTACAGACTTTTTTAACTAACGTTTTTTTTTAACTTACTGTTTTTCTTACATAGTTGTAATGTAATATGTACATTTTAGTCTTTATGCTTTAATTTAAAAATTGATTGAAGGAACTAAGGTTAAACATGTGTCTTATTACCATTGAATATGGCATCCGGAAAGGGTCTTGTTTTTGCCTCCCCGAATTAACGAGGCCCTTCTGTATTTTCTTCCAACAAACGATTGACGCGAATATTTAAACTGATATTCCTTTTTTACTTAGCTATTTGTCTCTCTTCTATAGATACTTTTACGGGAAGTGTTCAAGTGATTTGGCACGTTTGATTCCACCAAGAGCGGTACATATAAAAAATACGCGACGGACTGTGGCTGCTCATCGTTTTGAGGTTCAACTCAGTACACCTCGAAGTTCACTGTTCAAGAACTCTCCCATTTAGAGAACGGCGTTTAGGTGAAATAAACTTCCTGAGAACCTTTTTCCAAATTGATTTATTCTCCAGCGATTCAAATCCGATTAGAATCGCTACTTTCGTATAGGCACCGCTCTGAGAGCGCCTTAAGGATTATCCTGTAGTGCTTATGTTTTTTTTAAAAAACGAACACAAATACATTAGTGAAAACTGCAACCAAATCGGTAGAGCCATTTCTGAGAATGGTGTTCATTAATGCTCAGACAAATAGATACACAGACAAACAGAAAAAATTCTGAAAATCATTGTTTTGAGCACTAAGACTTTAATCAAGACCCCCAATAATAGTTTTCCTTAAATATCTTTCATGTATAGAAAGCGATCATTTTATTGTATGTATTAATTATGTATTGTTTACTGAAGACTTTTACAGGTTGCCTTTCATCTGTTTAAAATCTGTTTAAAATCTGTTTTTCCGTTAATCAGCTGTCGCTCCCATACAAACGACAAGTCTCAGAAGTTGAGAAACTTGTGCGAGCTAAGAAATAACGAGGTTTTACCTTTTAACGTGTGATTCCTAACACATCTACGAATCGGGGATAATTGAAAGTGAAATGAATTTTCATGTTTCACGTGGAAGGTTCCAATTCCAATATTTATCAAGTAATATCAATATTATTGTAAGTATATTAAATGGGTTATTTTATTGTAGTTTTTGTATGATTTGAAAAGGTGTAACACCATTTTTTGGGGAATCTTTAAATGTTTATAACTTTTGCAATTGTTTATATAAGGGTCTGATGCTTTCTCACATTTTTCTAGATGTCCTATGAATCCATTGAGCTACACCCATTGATAATTTTTTTATTGCAAAAATCAACGCGTTTTTCACCTGTTAAACTGGTCTATAAATGATATTCATTTATTCAAAGAGTGAAAATCTTTGTGCTGTGACAAAATCTAATAAATGTAAATGAATTACCGTTTCAGCAGTCTGATCCATTATAAGTTCCCCGTAAGCAGGCATATCGTTCAAATTCTCCAAAGACTTTGTGCGTTCTGGAAAACCTTTTTGTTCCGAACTTAAATCGAACTGATTACGTTCAACAGTAACAGCACTTTTTGCCGAAGATTTCGTGTTATCTTTCGCTAGATTTTCGGCACTTTTCCAGGTCTCCTGTAAATTTGTTTCAGATGCAGATTTAGTTAGTATGAAATTATCGTCCCCTTCTGGGGTTTGTCTCTCGTCAGAAGAGGTGCTGGGTAAAGGTAAATTAGCAATATCCTTTATTTCCTCTTGAGGGTGGGATTTGGACTTGAGCTTGAGCTTTTTTATGAGAAAGCTGGGCCTTTTCGATTTCAACGTTGGCGAAACCACAAGTTTCTTCTCGCGTTTTTCTCTTTCCTCCCCTATTTCCTTCGGTACGTTGCTCTCGTCGTCACTTTTCATTTTACTTTGATGGACAAACTTGAGACATAACGACTGTAGCTAGGAAAATGTCACGCGATGACTGAATGTTAGTTTCAGGTAAAGCTAATGAGCTTCTAAGATTGGTGGGGGAAATTAGTATCTTGTTTCTCGGCGGTGGTGGATTTTTATCTACTTTTTACACTGAGGGTTCGTCGCAGAGCGGCGATCCATCCGATTGTTTGTTTCCACTGAAGCACTGAATCAATTCTGTTTGATAATGGGATTAGTAATACGAGGGTCAGGTTAATAGTTCGTTGTGGCCCAGTCAGCTTTCTCGTTAATACGTATTATACGCATTGAGGATTACTGATTGGGAATTGTCGTTCGCAATTGAACTGAGACCGTACAAGGTGTCAAACAAAAGTGGGCACTCGATTACAGGTTTTACTGGGGGTGAAGAAAATTGTTTGAATTTTAAATTCAGTTTTCAGCCTTCGGCAGAAATATAAATTGAAAAGTGGTATTACGTTACAGTAATTTCAAAAATATCAAGATTTTCTTTCTGAAACTCATTTCAACAAAACTTTTGCATACAATCAAATCGAGGTAGTGTAATTTCTCACATACCTATGTGTTGAGAGGATAACAATATGTCCCTCTTCTTCCTAAACCCTTTTTTACGGCAATTCGGGTTTGCTGATTTATTTTATATCTCTTGTTCAAATAATTTTTCATTTCAATTTCACTCCACCTTTTTTCCTTCAGTTAGGTAGATAGCACTTTATTTCCAACAGGTGTACACCCAATTACAAGAAATGTTAAAGAAAATATACTTAAAAAATAGCATTCAATTCAAATAATTTCACATATTACATAGTCAATTGACAAATTATAAATGAAATAATATAAGATTCAATTGACATATTATAAATGAACTAGCCTTCACAAGGTTNTGACCATTTGGAAGACAACATTCGCCGTGTTATTGCCGATATACGGCCACAAATGTTGGAAAAAGTCATCGAAAATTGGACGTCCAGATTGGACTACATCCGCGCCAGCCGTGGCGGTCATATGCCAGAAATCATATTTAAAATGTAATGCCACAAGATTATCTTTCGGATAAATAAAATTCATGTCAATCGAATAATCCATCGTTGTTTTATTGCAACTTGAAGTTCTATACCTCTATAAAAAACACGCTTTACATATTGGAATTTCATTCGAACTCGAACAAATTAAGAAAATTTGCCCTTCATATTCGATTTTTTTTAGCATTTTTCGATTTCAAAGAAATGAAAACCCACAAATGTCAAAAAACTCATTCACCTCCCAAAACGGTCCAATCAATGTAATTTTTTCTATACAATTTTGCTATACGACACTGGTTTTCATCAAAATTTGTATTCAGATTCTGTCTACCTTGAACTTCAGAGTTGACCCAATATTTGTGATTACTTTTACCCTGAGCGTGTATGACACTCCTTCTCGAAGTGAGGAATGTTTCATTGGAAGTAGAAAGTAACAACTCTCAGGGAAAAAAATATCCATAGAACTAAAAGATGATTAGAATTAGTCAATTTTTCCTGAAATCATTTTCAGTGGACGTTGAAAATTTCATAATGTCCTCTTTCTCTGGCAGTTAACCTTTGCTGTACATTTTCGATGTTTAATTTATTTTAATCAATAATATAACAATAATTTCATATTGCTTCATTTGAATTCAGCCTGGAGAAAACCATACTTCAAAAACCAAGCGTTTGCAACACCAGACTGAGTTGTTAATAATATGCATGACCCAGCTTCCGCAAAAGACAAACTTGAGCTAAGGCTGAGTTAAGGCGAAGACGTCTTCTCTTACAACACGCCATCTATGGAATCGATAGTGGACTCAATCCACATATATCAAAGATAAACGAGGTTTTCCAAGACTGTCACTTGCAAAGCCAAACATCGACCTCCCAATGAGATTCGTCGTCTGTATTTCTCTGCAGCGTTCACTGTGAGATAACTAGATAAACTTGTCAGTCAGAGAGCGCTGATTCAACACGCTAAGCTCTCATAATGGTACTAGGTTGAACAACGAATGTTGTGCTGATCGCAAGTTTCTTGATATGAAGTGAAGGCGATATCGCCTCCGCTTACGAACACGACCACAATCCTCAAAAATCGAAGACAATTGGTGTTTCCAGAAGCGATCAATTGCAAAGCAAAGTTTCGATATCGACTGTCGAATGAGATTCGTCCTGTCTCTCATTTTAGCTTTCACTGCAAAACAACTAGATGAAACCGGAGACCAAAAACAAAGTATTCGCAAACTTTGAGCTCGTGTAATTAATTATCAGTTTCAAGTTTCATATGTTTCCTAATAAAACTGGCATCCCATTATGTTATTATTTGAATCATCATATGTATTTGTGACAAACTTGTGAACTCATACAACGAAGACATTCTCTCAAAGTGTATTAACTATTTAAAAGCATAGAGGGTAACAGTATCAAGCGTTACGCTACTGAAGGAGACTGAAAACGACAGTATTATATTCCGAGAAATATTTGTAAACTACTTCTTCTTCTCACGTAATGGATAGATGAATAATTAACCTTCACTTTACATACGCGGCTTTTATCCGGCATCCACGCCAGTAACATTCCAAGTTTTATATTTCATTCCGACATAGGATAGCTTCTGCGTTAGAAGGAAGCCGCAGCAATAACGTCAACGTTCTTATTTAAATTGTGGGGGATTCCGGAAACCATACGACTCCCCTCCAATCGAAAGTTTGGATGGTAATTTCGTGCTATCTGCTATTCACCCGGAAATATAGATACTTGATGAAATTCGAATGAGAACAGAGACAAAACGTATTCAGAGAGCCAGGTAGGAATTTGAATTAAAAAAAATTGAAGTTTTCATCCACAGAGTGTTTTGAAGTTCAGAATATAAAATTCATCGTTTAAAAAACCGCGAAGGATACGAATGTGGTCCCAGACGTACCTGGTCCAACAAAGGAAACACAAAAATTTTGGAAAAAAGTTCATTCATTTTTCAAACTAATCTCCTTGCGGCTCTATACAATTTTCCCGGTTACGTTCGATAAGTTCGATATCGTTTTTATAATAAGAACTGTATGAGGTAGCACTTGAAATCGTTAATTTTGGTCACTGCGATAATGGATTTGTAAGCTGGTACATTGTCTTGATGAAGCAACCCCTGTGGTATACAAGGGCTAATGTAATCAACCATTGTTAGTTTAATATATAAGTTGAAAATGTCATTATAGGACGAAACTGCAGTAACATTGGTTACAAATAAAAGTGGTAAAAAACATAGAAAGTTTCAATTCTCTTTTCTGCATTATGATTTCCTACCACGTAGTAACGGCTACATCCATCAATTTATCTGCTGTAGAAATTTCTGTTTCTGTGCAAAAAATTTGTTTTCCAAATTTGAACGATATAGTAGTATTGTACATACAGTTTCAGCGATGCATATCAATTTCTTCTGAATGGAGTGTTTATAGACAAAATTGTCGCTATTGGAGTGACGAAAACCCACATATTTTTGGGAAGGTCATACATAACACCCACAAAAGGTTCATGTTTGGGTGTTTAGTATTCTTGGAAATGCCATTATCGGTCCATTATTTCTGGAAGGAAACTTGACTGGCAATCTGTACCTTCAAATGCTTGAAAATACTATTGATTCTTTCATAACTCACGAGCTACATTTCCAGCAGAACGGTGTTTCCACTCACTATTTTCTTTCCGTCCGACAGTGGTTGAACGAAAGATTTCCGGATAGATGGATTGGTAGAAGGGTAGCATTTGAGTGACCTCCGAGATAACCGGACTTAACACCCTTAGATTTCTTTCTTTGGGGATATCTTAAATCCGTTGTTTATAGAACACAACCTTCTGATATTGAAGAATTTAAAAGACGAATTACAGCAGTATACTACTCAATTCCTGGTGAAGTTTTCCGTAATGTTATAGGGTAGTTCGAAAACAAACTTTATTACTGTTGAGAACAAAATGGACGACATTTCGAACAGTTTATATGATAAGCGTAAGTAGATATTATGTTTGAAATATCTTCCTCGCAAATAAAATTTTATTTTGCAAAAAGACAATAACCAGCAAATAAAAAATTTCACGCGTAATACATTCATTTCTGTCATTCAAGGGTTAGAAAAGTGCCACCTACTCTTCTAACCATTTTCATTAAAAGCAGTCAATACAGTAATGCAGAATAGGCAAATTCTAATTGCACTGCTAATCAAAAAATAAAATGTCAGGGTATCATTGAAAGCAGAATTGGTCGCCAATCAAAATGAGGTGGCATTTGATACCCCTCTCATTTAATATTCTGAGGTAACATCTACCTACATCTCCTTAGGGATTAAACCACGAGAGCTACAAATATTCGAAGAAGAAGAAGAACTTCATTTATAAATAGGAACCCTTAATATACAAACAAATAACCAAAACAAAAAAACGAATATTGAGGTAGCCGGTCGGTAGCCGGGCGGTTTGACGTGGTTGCTTTGTTCACTCAGTCAATCAGTCGATGTGTGAGCCGATGGTTCAAGCCTCAGGCTGAACGCTCGATTTTCACTCGCTACCGTCCAACCCGTGTTACGAATCACACGTTGAAATGTAAGACCTCGTTAGTCCTTAGCTCGCACAAGTTTAGACGTCTGAGGGTTGTCGTTCGTAGGGGTGCGACAGCTGGTTAACGGAAAAAGCATAACATAACAACACATAAACTAAGTGTCCGAAAGGGAACCCTGTTTTTTTGATTCCTCATATTATTTACTGGAAGGAAAATATTGAGGGTGGGAAGTCTTCAAGTTGACACCATGTAGATGATTAAAAAGACTATATATACACACATAAAGGATGATATAAGAGAACAGAAAACATATGAAATTATTTATAGATGATTAATAAATGATCTAAAGGAGTATTTCTTTATTTAATTTTCTAGAGGTAATATTAATTTTTCAAGTCGACATATAGATAAATATATATGAATTCTTGGCAGCCTCAGTATCCATATTTTCAATTGGCGTTTAAATGAATGAA